GCAAACCAATCATGTAGATAGGACCAAAACAAGCAAAACAATATGAGATGAATTGACTTATCCCAAAACCAAACCAAACCCACTGCCACAGAGTTGATTCCAACTCGTTGTTAGGTGCTGTTGAGTCGTCTCCGACTCATAGTGACCCTATGCACAGGAGAACAAAACACTGTTCGGTACTGTGACAGCTTCATGATATTGCTATACCTGAGCCTACTGTTGCACCCACTATGTCTATCCATCTCGTTGAGGGCCTTCCCCTTCTTTGTTGACCCTCCACTTTACCAAGCATGATATCCTTCTCCAGGGAATGGTTCCTTCTGAAACATGAGCAAAGTAGGTGAGAGAAAGTCTGGCCATTCTCACTTCCAAGGAGTATTCTGGCTGCACTTCTTCCATAGATTTGTTAGTCCTTTTAGCAGACCATGGTACTCTTAGCATTCTTCTCCAACACCACAACTCAAAAGCATCAACTCTTCTTTGGTTTTCCTTATTCATTGTCCAGCTCTCATAAGAAGCAATTGCAAATACCATGGCTTGTGTCAGGCGCACCTTAGTCTTCAAGGAGACATCCTTGCTCCTCATCACTTGAAAGAGGTCCTTAGCAGCAGATTTGCCCAATGTAATACATCATCTGATGTCTTGACTGCTGCTTCCATTGGTGTTGATAGTAGAGCCAAGTAATATGAAATCCTTGACAACTTCAGTCTTTTCTCCATCCACCATGAAGCTGTTTATTGGACCAGTTGTGAGGATTTTAGTTTTCTTTATATTGAGGAAAAATCCATACTGCAGGCTGTAGTCTTTAATCTTCATCACTAAGTGCTTCAAGTCATCCTCACTTTCAGCAAGCAAAGTTGTGTCATCTGCATATCGCATGTGGTTAAAGAGTCTTCCTCCAGTCCTGATGCCATGTTCTTCTTCATACAATCCACCTTCTTGGATTATTTGCTCAGCATATAATAAGTATGGTGAAAGGATATAACCTTGATGTACTCTCTTGTTCTGTATCTCCTTGTTCTGTTCGTATGACAGCCTCCTAATCTCTATACAGGTTCCTCATGAGTACAATCAAGTGTTCCGGAATTTCCATTCTTCTCATTGTTATCCACAGTTTGTCATGATCTACACAATCAAATGCTTTTGCATAGTCAATAAAACATAAGTAAACATTATTGTGGTATCCTTTAATTTGTACAGGTTCCTCATGAGTACAATCAATTGTTCTGGAATTCCCATTCTTCTCAATGTTATCCACAGTTTGTCATGATCTACACAATCAAATGCTTTTGCATAGTCAATAAAACATAAGTAAACATTGTTCTGGTATCCTTTACTTTCAGCTAAGATCATCTGACATTAGCAGTGATATCCCTCATTTCACCTCCTGTTCTGAATCCAGCTTGCATTTCTGAAAGCTCTCTGTCAATATACTGCTGCAACCATTTTTGAATTATCTTCATTAAGAATTTAATTGTATGTAATATTAATGATATTGTTCAATAATTTCCATATTCTATGGGATCACCTTTCTTTGGCATGAGTACAGATATGGATCCCTTTCAGTCAGTTGGCCAGGTAGCTGTCTTCCAAATCTCTTGGCATAATCAAGTGAGTGCCTCCAGTGGGACATCCATTTGTTGAAACATCTCAGTGGGTATTCCTTCAGTGCAGCTTTGACTTCTTTCTTCAATACTGTTGGTTCTTGATCATATGCTACCTCCTGAAATGGATGAAGATTTGGTACGTTGTTGTTGTTATTGTTATTTGCCCTCAAGTTGGACTCGACTCATAGCGACCCCTCCTTGGGTTTCTGAGGTGATATCACTACGGAAGTAGATTGCCCCGTCTTCCTTCCAAGGAGTGGCTCATGGATTTGAACCGCCAGCCTTCTGGTTAGCAGTAAAGTGCCTTAGGCACTACGCTACCAGAGCTCCCTTTTTTGGTACAGTGACTCTATTCCTTCTATCTTCTTTGGATGCTTCCTGCATCATTCAACATTTTGTCCATAGAATCTTTCAGTATTGCAACCCAAGGCTTAAATTTTTTCCTCAGTTCTTTCAGCTTGAGAGCTGAGCATGTTCTTCTCTTTTGGTTCTCTAACTTAAGGTCTTTGCACATTTCATTATAGTAATTGGCTTTATCTGCTCAAGCTGTTGTTTGAAATCTTCTGTTCAGCTCTTTTATCTTGTTATTTCTTCCATTTGCTTTAGCTACTCCCCACTCAAGGGCAAGTTTCAGAGTTTCTTCTGACATCCATTTTGGTCTTTTCTCCTTTTCTTGTCTTTTTAATGACCTCTTGCTTTCATAATGGATGATATTCTTGATGTCATCCCACAGTTCCTCTCTTTTTCAGTCATTGGTGTTCAATGCATCAAATTTATTCTTTAGATGGTTTCTAAATTCAGGAAGGATATTATCAAGGTCATGTTTTGGCTCTTGTAGACGGCACATAACAACAACAACAACAACAGACTTGTTTTAATTGTCTTCAACTGCAACTTGAACGTGCATATGAGCAGTTGATGGTCTGTTCCACAGTCAGCCCCTGGCCTTGTTCTGGCCTAAGATACTGAACTTCTCCATCACCTCTTGCCACAGATGTAGTCAGTGTGATTCCTGTGTATTCCATCTGATGAAGTCCACGTGAATAGTTGTTGCTATGTTGTTGAAAAAAGGTATTTGCAATGAATAAGTCACTGGTCTTGCAAAATTTTATCATGCGATCTTCAGCATTACTTCAGTATTTCCAAGGCCATATTTTCCAACTACCGGTGACTCTTCTAGGTTTCTAGCTTTTGCATTCCAGTCACCAGTGATAATCAACACATCTTGATTGCATGTTCAATTAATTTCAGACCGCAGAATTTGGTAGAAATCTTCAATATCCTCATCTTTGGCTTTGGCGGTTCGTGTGCAAATTTGTATAATAATCTATTAACTGGTCTTCCTTGTAGGCATATGGATATTATCCTATCTCTGACATTGTTGTACTTCAGGACAGATCTTGAAATAATCTCTGTGACAGTGAATCCTATACCACTCCTCTCCAATTTGTGATTCCCAGCATAGTAGATCATATGGTTGGTTGTCTGATTCAAAATGGCCAGAACCAGTCCATTCCATGCCTAGGATGTAGATCTTTATGTGTTCCATTTCATGTTTGATGGTTTCCAATTTTCCTAGATTCATACTTTGTACATTCCATGTTCCAGTTATTAATGAATGTTTGCATCTGTTTCTGTCCATTTTGAGTCATGCCACATCAGCCAATGGAGGTCCCAAAAGCTTTACTCTGTCCATATTGTTAAAGTCTTCTCTACTCTGAGGAGCCAGCTCTTCCCCAGTCAAATTTTGAGTGCCTTCCAACCTGATGGGCTCATCTTCTGGCACTATATCGGACAATATTTCAGGGCTGTTTATAAAGTTTTCCAGTAATATATCAGACAGTGTTTCACTGCTATTCATAAGGTTTTCAGTGGCCAATTGTTTGAGAAATGGAAGGACTCTTCCTTCTTCCGAGTCTGTCTAAGCCTGGAAGCTCTACTGAAACCTTTCCATCATGGGCAACCCTGTTGGCGTTTTGCAACACAGTGGCATAGCCTCCAGCTTCACAGCAACATGTAAGCCCACAGGATGACAAACTGACAGACAAGTTCATCTCCCTTAGTTGTTCCTAACTCCTCTGCGCCTGTCTACCTCAGGCCCCGGTCTTAATATAGAGCCACACCTAAGCAAAAAGCAGCCTCCAAGCCCCTTGCCCTTGTACCTCAGGTCCCAGCCTTAATAAAGAGCCACCCCCATGTGAAAAGCAGCCTCCAAGCCCAGGCCTGCCTACCTCAGGTCCCGGCCTTAATATAGAACCACAACCAAGTGAAAAGTAGCCTCCAAACCCCAACCCTGCCTGCCTCAGGCCCTGGCCTTAACATAGAGCCACACCCAAGTGAAAAGCAGCCTTGGAGCCCCGGCCTATGATTCTGACTCATAGAAACCCCAATAGGGTTTCCAAGGCTGTAAATAAATCTTTATGGAAGTGGGTTGGGATTGACTTACAGGACTTTTTAAAAATTTTTAAAAATTAGAATACATTGCTCATTTTATAAATAGTAATTGTCTTTATATGTAAAATACTTTATCCTTCAGCCCAGTAAATATTTTACATACTCACCCTGTATTAGAAGCAAACATAGTTTACATTACAATTGTGAAACTACAGTGTTGAGGTGGTGGTGTTGTGTGCCCTGGAGTTAATTCCGGTTCAAAGCAACCCTGTAGGAGAGTAGAACTGCCTTCTAGCATTTTCTAGGCTGCAATCTTTACGGGAAGCAGATTGCCAGTTCTTTTCTGCCATGGAGTAAATACTTTAACCACTGCTAGAGTACTTTAACCACGGCTTCTACAATATAGGCCTAATAATTTATCAAAAAATAATCATAGAAAAGTCAATGGCTTGGATTGAGAATTATTAGACAGCAGTATCTAAGAGAAGAAATTCATTATAATTATCAAGATTTTTGGTGGGGTAGGAGGGCTTTCAACTTCCTCTGTAGCACGCAGTGAAGAGGATTGCCTGGAAAGGGGTATCTGTCAGAACTTATGTTAAGGTTGAAATACACTATCTCATGATAGGACTGTTTGTAACAAGGATGTATTCATTTATCAAAATTAGATGGCTAAGATGAGTGCATTTCAATGTATATCAAGTTTGCCTAAAAATAAGGAGTACTATTAAAAATAAAACAATTGAGTGAGGTCATGAGGAACACATGCAGGCATAAATGAAACAAGAATGGCAGAATGTACATGGGGCTCATTATACTTTTTTTTTTTAATTTGGAATTTTTCATATTAAGCAGTTAAAAGAATGTCAGTTAGTTCTAAATAATTAAGTGACTAAATGCCATGAAAATATTTATTAGTGAATTTACATCGGTTTATTTTAAATGTTTAATTTTAAAATATCAAACTCAGCAGTAACATCAAAAATCATTTTTTGGCAGCCATGAAGAACTGTACTCAGGTCGCCCTTATGGAGCCCTTGATTCAGGTTTCAATAGTGTGGACAGTGGTGATAAGCGATGGTCAGGAAATGAAGTAAGTGTTTCTTCTATTCTGCATGTTATGCCTCCTGGTAAAGCAAAAGTTGAAATAGGGAAAATGTCTTAATTGGGATCAGTTTCTTATTCTGAAAAATAAAGTAAAAAGGAGGGGCAAAAATCCCACGTAATTCTACCATCCAGAAATGGTATATTTCATTCCTGTGTTTCTACCATGTGTAGTTTTATATCTTTGCTGCTTCATTGTATTGTATAGTTTCATATCCTAGAGAGCCAAATAGGAGCTGAACCAGTTACACGTGAAGCTTGAAATTTAAGGATCTGGGTAATCTTGAGCAGAGGTGAGAAAAGAAATACAGAAGATGAGGAAACAAATAGGACTGTTAGGCTGAGGGGTAAAGATGTGGGAACTTAAGTGAAATATACCAACATACATAATAAATACAGATAACCCCCACTTTTCAAAAGTTCACTTTACACCATTTAGCTTTTATACAAGACCTGCATACATTAGTACCTGTTTTCGCTAACTGAAAGAAATCTAAAGTGGATTTTTCCTTTTTCCAAAAAAAATGAAAAGCAAAACTAGCCTTAGTGTGTGTTTTGCAGTGAGCCATTAAAGAGTCAGCACACACCTTGCTCCTCATCACTTGAAAGAGGTCCTTAGCAGTGAGAGTGTTATCACCAAGCTCCTTCCTCAGAAATTAAACTGAGCATCTCAAGGTCCAGCCACTGTAGCTTTGAACTTTGTGAACACTATATATTAGTGTTATTTCAGGTTTTATGTGTTATTTGGTATAACTGGTAGGTTATTTTTTGGGTCTGGGAATGTTCAAAAATTTTTCCTATATAAATTAACGGTAATTGCTTCTTCACTTCATGCCATTTTAGGTTACAGAGGTTTCATAGGAACCCTCTAATTTCAGATCGTAGGGGAAACCTGCACATAACTTTCTTAGCTGGAAGCTCTGGTAGCATAGTGGCTAAGATACTTGCCTGCTAACCAGACGGCTGGCGGTTCAAACCCACCAGCCACTCCTCGGAAGGAAGGTTGGGCAATCCTACTTCCATAGTGATACTGCCTCGGAAACCCAAGGAGGGGTCACTCACTATGAGTCGGGTTTGACTCAACGGCACATAACAACAACAACTTTCTTAGCTAATTATAGTATTTTCCTGTTTTGTTTAATTTCTGTTTTTTTTTTTTTATTTACTGAGGTTTAATATTTTAGCTATAAATTGGGTTAAATAGTTAAATATTATTTTATTAGCTAGATTGATAATCTCCCATGCATATCATTGTTTCATTGGGACAAAAACCAAGTGGATTTCACTGCCATTGATTGAATTCTGACTCACAGTGATCCTATGGACAGAGTAGAACTGCCCATAGGGTTTCCAAGGCTGTAAATATTTAAATATTTATGGAAGCCAACTGCCTCCTCTTTCTCCCACAGAGCAGCTGGTTTTGGTTAATAGCTGATTAACACTATACCACTAGAACTCTTATTTCACTTGTAGACCACAGCCCATTTGTAATTGCTTCTGTAGGTAAGTCTGGGTGGTTGTGTACATGCATGTGGCTGTATCCATACAGATATATTAAAAAAAAAAAAAAATTGCCATTGAGTTGAATCAGACACATAGCGACCCCTCCTTGGGTTTGTGTGGTGGTATCCCTACAAAAGTAGATTGCCCAATCTTCCTTCCGAGGAATGGATGGTGGGTTTGAACCACCAGCCTTCTGGTTAGCAGTCAAATGCCTTAGGCGCTGCGCTACCAGAGCTCCTATACAGATACATATGTTGTTGTTGTTGTTATGTGTCGTCCAGTCAGACCTGACTTATAGCAACCCCTCCTTGGGTTTCCGAGGAGGTATCACTATGGAAGTAGATTGCCCAGCCTTACTTCCGAGGAGTGGCTGGTGGGTTTGAACCTCCAGCCTTCTGGTTAGCAGTCAAGTGCCTTAGGCACTACACTACCAGCGCTCCTATAGTTACATATATATACTGATAACTTATGCACATATGTACATCTTTAGAGCCACATATACCTTGCTATTTCTTTTTAAATATAAAATTTAAAGAGTTTATATTCTACTTATACCTTCAATGGTTATCTTGTATAAATTTTAAAATACTTCTTTAATGTTTCTTCTGTTTTTTAAGCCTACAGATGAATTTTCAGATCTGCCTCTTCGAGTAGCAGAGATTACTAAAGAACAGAGACTACGAAGAGAGAGCCAATACCAAGAGAATCGCAGCAGTTTAGTGGTAACAAATGGTGGAGGTAAAACAATATTATTGATGGCATCTGAAGTCTTTATAGCACTTCAGCTGTTTTCACATTCACTCCTTTTGTTTATTTGTAGCTTCTTCAGTCTTCTTTTAAAGATAATCTTTTTTCATATTTGATTGAAAAAAAGATATTTTCCATTGAAGTTAAATTTCAATTTCTCTGTTTTCTGTAGTTAAAGTACAGTGTTTCTCATTTTTATTTTGGAGAGAAAGTTTACCAAAAACAGTTCACTTAGATGTAGTCATTGTTTATCTCGATGTCACCATTGCTATTTTTAAAGTACTGTTCTCCTTTAAGATTCTCTCCATGTTCATTATTTGCCTCTTTCAGGAATTTAGTATATTTCTTGCTTACCTTTTCTTTCATCTGAAATTATGCTCTTCAAGGGTATCTGAGTCCCACTTACTCTGGAATTTAAAATAGTTTTAGTTTTTATAGTTCATTAACAAGTGGAGGTCTTTCTTCTTCCTCCTACTTCTGAGATACACTCTTGATTTAGCATTCCATTCAGTATTGCTCTAGTTTGGATTACCAAGTTCTAATGATTAAATTTGGGGGGCCAATTATAAGGGAGAAATAACTTTGCTTTTCTAGAAATCAGTTACATTATCTGAGAAGAGCTTTTCTCTCTGAAGAGTGGTTTCAATTAAGTGGTTTACTCTTTTTTTCCTTACCATCTCATATTCTTCTTTATTTCTGTCCTTACTGTTCTATTCACATATCAGTAGTTTTCTTTTTAATTTCTCTTTTTATGAGTTCTTGCTCTCATTAGTTCATTTCAGACTTAAAATAATGTCTAGATCTCACTATTAAACATTTAAAATACGGCTTTTCTGAATTGAGACAGGCTGTAGTGTTGCATGTACATCATATTTTAAAGATTTTGTATGAAAAATAGAATGTAAAATATCAATATTTTTCATTATATGTTGAAATAGTATTTTGAATATATTGAGTAAAATATATTACTAATGTCACTTGTAGCTTTTTACATTTTCTTAAAAATATGACACTAGAAAGTTTAAAATTATATATGTGCTACACTTTTGTGGATTGCATACCATTTCTCTTCGACAGCACTGATCTGCATAGTATTAAGTGATGCTTCATTCCTAGGAGATAGTTATAGTATGAATTATTTATTAATTACTTAACCTGCAAGTTATACCACATTAATACATTCATATAGCTGGTTTCTCATGTCGGTATAGATTTATAAATCCCCCCTCCCATTTTTTAGCTATTAAACTCTAATAACTCAACATTAATTTTATATTATTAATTGTAGTTATGGGATTATTTTTAAATAAATGAATTAAAAAACTAGATTGAGAGATTCTTTCACATTTACTGTTCTCAGCAACTGCAACTTGTAGATAGTCTGTGGAACATCATGGAGTCTGGATGGTGCAAACAGTTAAGCACTCAGCTACTGAGGGTTTGGCAGTTTGAATCTTACCTGCAGCTCCTCGGAAGAAAGGATTGGCATTCTGCTTCCAAAAGATCACAGCAATTGGAATCCTTATGTAGTGTAGTTCTCTTTCAAAAAACATCATCATAAAATAATGACTGAGGTTTAATACTTCCCTAGAGAAATCATCTTAGAAACAAGTTTCCTTTCTAGTCTCCCATTTTAGCTAGGTTTTAAAAAGAATTACTTTTTAAACTTAAAAACAATGAGCCATTGACAAACATACCAGATGAAATAATGATGTGACTATGTGTTCTCACCTCAAAGCACTTGGGAAGAAAAAAAATTTCCTCAAATGATTCCTTCCCAGTCACAGATTGCTGTAAAACAGCTAAATAGTTGTTTCCTACTTTTTTTTACTGAATTGCCTTCTTCTTTCCTTTGAGTTGACTTTGCTAGGTTTTTTGCCTCCCAACTCTCCTATGCGTAAGCCCCAAACCTAAATCATGGAAAGTCCTAAAAGTACATGTACCTTTTCATCTTTAAAAATTAACCTTCCTCTCTGTTTTTCTTACAAACTTACATTGCCTTATTCAAAACAACAGGGAGCTATAGAAAGAAAAAAAAATTGAGATCCAAATTCTAATAATTTACACTGATTTTACTGAGTTCTTTAGTGAATTAGGATCAGTATTTTCTGGAGCCTGTTTTTGTGAGCGGCTATGGATTAAATAATAATGGCTACATTTCTCTCACTCTTGGAGTAAAAAATGTTGGGAAAAAGGAAAGAATACGATTTAAATAAGTGTCTTGTGTTTGCTGTCTAATCTGAAAGCGCCTTTTGGTGTTTGTGTGTGGTGTTTACAGTGGAACATGATCTGGATCAGATTGACTACATCGACAGCTGTGCTGCAGAGGAGGAAGAGGAGGAGGTGAGGCAGCCCAAGGGCCTGGACTCAGACAGTCTCAGTTCACAGTTTATGGCATATATTGAACAACGACGAATCTCTCATGAGGTAGTACACGCTAAGCCTAAAGATGTTGCTATGCCCTAGTAAAAAATACTTCATGATGGGATGAATTGTTGGTTCATGCTTAATTATTTTATTGTATTCATTTCTAATATTTTCCCTGAATTTTACTTATTTATTCAGACAATAAGTAGAGTTTAGGTTTATTGGTCAAATAAGAAAACAGATTATCAGGATTTAGGAAAGGGAATAAAAGGAGTCCTAAGAGTAACCCTTAGGAACTGCAAAAATGGCAAGGAAGCCACATGTTCTGACCTCCTCTAACCCTCCAAGAGGAAGACAGGATTACCAGCAGTAACCCAAGGCCTATTCCTGCCAGGCCAGACATGCTGCCTCCCCCCTCCAGCCCTTGCTCCAGCCGTTCCTCCCAAAGCACCCACCACCTCTCTCCTGGGTTTGATAATTTGCTGCAGTGGCCACACAGGACTCACAGATTATGAGGTTTATTAGGGAAGCACCAGGCTACAATTCGAGTCCAAGAAAAATGCTCAGTCTCTCTCCCAGCCCACCGTCCCTCGGCCAACAGTCTCTCACAGTCTCTTTCCCAGCAGTACTGGTCCCTCGGTGTCTCACTCAGCAATGCGTGTCTCTTGCGTCTCTTTCCCAGCAGCATGTGTCTCTTTCCCGAGCATGTGTCTCTTTCAGCAGCGCGTCTTCCTCAACCAGCAGTCAGAGAGAGTTCTGCCTCCAGGAGGCCTCCTTTCGAGCCCAGAAGGGTGGTCAAACTAGCCAATCACAGCATCAGAACTCTAAGCACGTGAAAGAGAGTGGGAACCTCCCAGAACATTGTATTTTGCCACGCCCAACAGAAATAACCCAGGTGGGCGACTTTAAAATCAGGATCTCCTTAGTTGCTAATAGCAATTCCCACCTTGGAGTTTACAAAGGCTTATGGGTAGAAAAGCCACACTAAGTAAGTTACTACACCGCAGAAACTCTGGTGGCACAATGGTTAAAGTATTAGGCTGCTAACCAAAAGTAGTTTGGACTCGCCAGCCTCTCTGCAGGAGGAGGATGAGACAGTCTGCTTCCTTTAAGATTTATAGTCTTGAACGCCCTTGAATACGTGCAGCTCTGCTCTGTCCTGTAAAGTCACGATGAATCAGAATCTCCTTGATGGCAGAGTTTGGTTGGTTAGAGCATCCCTGAGGCCTTAAAAAAAAAAATACAAAGAAATGTGATGATTTTCGTTGTTGATTTTTAGTGCCTTAAATTCTTACTATCTGGTAAATCATAGTTGGGTCAATAATTAGGAATTGAACCAAAAAGCTGATTTTTAGGGCAACATACATACTAACCATAGAATTTGTATAATGAGTTGAATTATATTGGAGCTTTTATGCTAAGTCACACAGAATACAAATTGTTTGCCATTAAAATTCTTGGGTGTCTCTTATAATGCAGCATTGAATTGCCTTAGAAAACAAATGAGCATTCAGCCCACTGCAGAATCTCTGCCAATTCCCCAAAGGTTGAAAGTAGAAATGGCATTCTTGAATATTATCTAGTTAGCATAATAAAATGGTTCCACTTCAGTGTGTATGATGTTGATGTCCGGAATTGGTCACAGGCTCTGAGCAGGGATTATTTGAGAAATACTTGGAGCCTTTTTGAAGAATGATGTATTTATCTTCTTAGAAATAGACCATAGTAACTTCCAGTGGGATATATTGTAGAGTGATAGTATCATTCTTTGGAAAAAAAAAAAGTCTTGGTTTTCCTGTCTGAAAGCTTTTCAATACAGTATTTTTTTGTTGGTGTTTGGAAGATATGCTTGTATTTAAAGTTGGATAAAATGATATAAATCAAAGTCTTGTAGCCGAAAGATTTCAGTGTTCCATGTAATTAATAAAATTACTTGTGCTTCTGGCTATAAGCATCCCAGCAGAGCAAAGGGCAGCTAATTTACAATAAAATTAACAATCACATATTATACTCTTGCTAAGGGGGCAAGGAGGCCTCATCTTCTGACCTCCTCTAACCCCACAAGAGGAAGACAGAATCACTGTCAGTAGCCCAAGGCCTATTCCTGCAAGGCCAAACATGCTGCCTCCTTCCAGCCCTTTCAACAACAGTTCCTCCCGCAGCACCCCCCACCTCTCTGCTGGGTTTCGTAATTCACTGCAGTGGCCACACAGAACTCACAGATTATGGGATTTATTAGGGAAACACCAGGCTACAATTCAAGTTGAGGAAAAATGCTCAGTCTCTCTCAGCCCACCATCTCTCAGGCAACAGTCTAGTGTCTCTGTCTGTCTCCCAGCATCTCTTTCTCAGCAATGTGTGTCTCTCTGTGTCTATCTCTCAGCAGCGCATGTCTCTCGGTCTCTCTAGCAGCATGTGTCTCTCAGGAGCACATTTCTCTCAGCAGCATAATCTTTCTCAGCCAACAGTCAGACTTTTTCTGCCTCTACAAGGGCTCCTTTTCACCTGGCGGAGTGGCCAAACTAACCAATCAATAACGTCAGAATTCTAAACACCTGAGAGTGAACTTCCCAGAACATTGCTTTGTGCCACTTGCGTGAGAAATACCCCAGATTGATAACTTAAATAAAACTTACGGCTAGAAAAGGTATACCAGGTAGTTTACTACACCACAGCTCTTTAAAAGGAATCTTTTTTATCTCTCTCTTTTTTTTTTTTTGGTAGTCTTTCTCTTTGATCATTTTATGAATGATGGAGCTGGAAAGCTGTGGGTATTTCTGAAAAATTTAAATTCCCATTATACTGCTGGAATATACTGTTTCTTTAATCCACTGCTTGATTATTTTATAACTATGTGCTTTTTAATTCCAGCTACCTATTTCTTTGGCAATATTCTTATATTTTGTATGAATTATATCTTAAGGTTTTTAAAAATTTGACATCTGTAAAAATATGAGAAGCAGTATTATTTAGAGGGTTTAACAACCAGTAAATAAATACTTTATATTTCTGACTACTATATAAAAATGAATTGCTAAAAGATTAACCTATGTGAGATTTTAAACACTTTTTATTTTTATGTAGTGTAATACCTCTTATATATACAAACCACATGCTTCCTGAATAGGGTATGACTAGGGTTTACTTTTTAAATAAATGGCATATTTGTTTTGTATTGAATTCCACAAAGCTTTTGCAGTAATTTTATTTATTTATATTGCACTTTGGGTGCAAATTTCCATAGCATACTTGTTTTACATTGAATAGTTCATGTACATCTGATTTCATGGTCCAAATTACCTTCCCAAACCTTGGAGGTGAGTACATTTCTAGGCCTGAAAGGTAACCTGGAGCCATAGTCTCAAGAGATTCTACCAGTCTATTTCTGACCAATAGTTCTGGTCGTCTTTTTTTTTTTTAATGCATTTTATGGAAATATACTTTATCTACACTGAAATACACAACACTAAAATGACATGGGTCAGTGCTTTTTTTTTTTTTTTTTGCACTGTTCCCTCCTCTCCTCTCCCATCCCTGGCAACTAACAAAGAAAGTTTCCCTCCAATATATAAGCCTTTCCTTGACCCTCCACATCAAAGAACTTATAGTATATTTGTCCTTCTATGATTGACTTAGGTCATTCAGCATAGTATCCTCCAACTTCATCTATATTTTGCGGTGTTTTTTTTTTTTCTTTGGTGTGATTTCGATGAAGATTTACAGAGCAAATTCACTTTCCATACAGCAGTTCACATATACTTTATCTCATGACATTGACCACAGTTGGCCACAATGCAACAGCTCCCCTCCCACTTCCTCCCCATAGTTACCTCTTCCCAGTGTCCATCCCTCCATGCATTCCTGCCCCTGAGCTGTCTCCCTGTGCATTAGCAGCCATTCTTTCTCCCTTGATTGTTCTCTCCAGGGAGTGTATCTACCTGAAGTAAATGTTCAACTCATATGCCTGTCTTTTGTTTGGCTGGAAACCATGGGTGTGGGTTCAATTCCAGACCTGAAGGGTAGCGAGGGGCCACAGTCTCAGTGGTTCCACCAGGCTCTATCAAACCAGCAAACCTGGTCCCCCCCCCC